GTGTAAACCTGATAACTGTTCACGCAGAACTATAATTAAACGTGCCAACAAGAACGGCGGTTGTTTGCTGTATAAGATGAACAACGAAAGAAAACGGCCACAGATTAAAAAATACTGTGAAGAAATATTAAAAACGGCTACGGAGCCATCCCCCATCATAGGAGAATCGTGGGTTCACGAATTTTTTAAAAATACCGATTCGTGTAGTTTTCCAAGGTCTCTTCTGGAAACCTCGGCACAGATCTTTGTTGTATTGTACTCAGTGCAACATCATCAGCAGAAGTCGTGTCGAAGAATCTATTCAGTGGGTGGGATAGAGTAGCCCACGAGTATCACAGATGTGCCGTTGTTGCGGCTCGAAAGTGCGCGACAATGGCGCTAGGTTTTACAAAGTAAACTTATGGCGACTAATCTTAAAGGAATCTTCCGCGGAAAAAGCTCCGCCTCCATTACCACAGAAAAACGATACCCCTTAGGCCCCTAGCCTCATGAGCATAGCAAAAAGAACGGAACATAAGCGTTAGTTTCGATAACTAATCCTACACACAAGACAAAATGATCACTCTTTCCGTGGAAGATTCCTTTAAGTTCCGCTTCTGCGACAGTAATGAATGGGCGGAATTCATTTCCCATCACAATTTTCCAAACACTATTACAGGGTAGAATGTTACTACACAATTACAATGTACATGCACGCTATAGTAGGTCGACTGAGCCCAGCTCAGATTGATATATTTTGATATTTTATTCACCCAAAGTAGATAGTAGACCCAAGAGGTAATTAGCATCTCTGAGAAGATTATAAACTCTTAGATCTGCCCTTTCCCTATCAAGTCACTGTGGAGATCAGACATTGAAAGGTCCCTACGGATTGATTTCGAATTCTTGACGCATTTTATAGGAATTGATTGAATTCACTCCAGTGAGTTCAATATTCATCCTTCATTGATATGGATTAACGACCTTTGACTCACCTGCACCATAATATTGAAAACGTAGAGAAATTTTGTGAAGACATAGACGCCCGACAGATAGGAGCCTGATTTTCGCATTTTCGACATCATACCAGCCTCTGAAAAATTACCACATAAAATATGTTGGAGCTTCAGTTCAATAATGAAAACG